CCAAACTAGGTTTGATTCCCTGCACCTCATACAGTTCCCCAAGCCCCACCAGCCCTTGTCTGGCCAACAGTGATTCATGAGTAAAGAGCCAAGAGTAAGAATAACACCAGGTGTGGCTCCAAAACCAATCCATCTCCCCGCCCCAAATAATAACTCCACTCTGCCCCGATTTACAAGGGATGTATTACATCCGTTCCTCCCACTCCTTCTTCCCTGTCCTTTAGAACGTCATTGAGTAGTTTGTTGATTATGTACGTCATTTATATTTATATATGTATGTGTGGAGGTCATACCTGTAGCACCCAGGGAACCAGGGCCAATCCTAGCGGTGCTCAGGTGTCTTGCGGTGCCAGAGATCAAACCCAGGGACTCACACAGGTCAGGCCTGTGTTCTGCTGCTTAGGTTCTCACCCTACCCTCATTAAACATGTTTTGAAATATCTCAGTAGTGGAGGCCAGAGAGATAATACGTCGGGCAGGCACTTGCCTTGTATCTGGCCAACACAGGTTTGATCCCAGGTACCACATATGGTCCATTGAGCAGTAGTGATCCTTGAGCACAGAGACAGGAAGAAGCCCTGAGCACAGCCAGGTTATAACCCCAAACCAAAAGCAAACAAACAAAAGTCCCAGTAGTAGTTTTGAAAGACAGGCTTTTCCAGCTGAAGTCAAATCCTGATTTAACACTTTATCCATCTTCTTTGGAGCTTCACTTTCTTGGCCTGTCCAACTGATTTCAATACTACTCAATATAATTATGGACATCGACTATAGTGACAAATTTCAAAATGTTAACTTATGAGTCATCGATGTGTGCCTAGAGTTGGTGCTCCAGAAATAGCTGTTAAATAGATGCCCCCAAGAACCAGGCTCTTTCTCCTAAGAGGAGAGTAGGGAGTATGCAGATGGGAACAAAATGGCCCAGGAGGAAGTAGGAGAGCCGAACACTTATTTGACTTCTTTTTCTGGTGTGGAGTTCTGGGGTCTACTCCAAGCTCAGTGCCTGGGAATAACTCCCAAAGGTACCTGGTGCAGGGATCCAAACCTAGGTTCCTGTATACAATGCACATGCAAAGTACTTTGGACCGCTGAACCACCGCAGTGGAGGGGGTGGAAAAGGACACCTGTACTGGGGAGATGCCAGCTGGCAACCCAGCCTACATTTCCACTCTTTTCCTTGTAATAAGATCTTCCATTTCCAGCTGCATTCACAGTGGTGAGAACTGAAACCCTGTTTTCCATCCCTCCTCACTGCTTTTTGCCTTTGCTCTCCCCTACCCCTCCCCCAGTCTCCATGCTGAGAAGGTAACATGAGTTTGTGGCTCCACTTAGCACCCCTGAGAAAGCACTGGTTAAGAGGAACCCCTGCAGCCTGAAAGATTTGCTGCCCCTACAAAAGGTGAATGATTTTCTTTCTCTTCAGCGCCTCACAAAGGCTCAGCCCTGAACTTCCGCTGTAAAACCCTGCAGCAGCGTGCGTACCAGGGGCTCAGGCCTCTGAGCATCCCACGCCCCCCAAATCCTGCAGATCAGAGCACAGGCCCCCGGGTGCTCATGAGGATGATGATCAGGCGTCAGCATACAGCAGGGCTGGGGAGCCGGGCAGTGGGCGCAGTGGGGGCGGATTCTCATCACACCCAACATTCTGAGAGCGGAGGTGTGGAGAGTGTGGGGTCTCCTGGGAGCAGCTGGGACTCCCAGTGCAAAGAGCTTTCTTGGTTTTTTTGTTTGTTTTTTGGGGTTTTTTTTTTTTTTTTTTGGTTTGCTTTTGGGTCACACCCGGCGATGCACAGGGTTTACTCCTGGCTCTGCACTCAGGAATTACTCCTGACAGTGCTCAGGGGCCATATGGGATGCTGGGAATTGAACCTCGGTCAGCCTCGTGCAAGGCAAACGCCCTGCCTGCTGTGCTATCACTCCAGCCCTGAGAGGGGCTTTCTTGGGCACAGGATTAACTCCAGGACAAAAGGCAGCAGTGGCAGGACCATGGAGGGAGGGAAATGATCGAACTGGGGTGGGAGGGTGCCCCATCTTACAGGCCACTACAAAATACTGGAGGACAATGCAGCTTGAGATGAGAGAGAGAGAGAGAGAGAGAGAGAGAGAGAGAGAGAGAGAGAGAGAAAGAAAGAAAGAAAGAAAGAAAGAGTGCATGCCATAGAGGCAGGGTGTGGGACAGAGCACTGTTAAGGGAAGGGAAACTGGGACCACTGGTGGTGGGAAAAGTACACTGGTGAAGGGACGGGTGTTGTAACATTATATGACTGAAATCCAATCATGAACAACTTTGTAAATGTGTATATCACAGTGATTCAATTTTTAAAAAATAAATAAATTGGGGGGGGGGGGAGCATATACTTCCTGCCCCTGAGCTGCCAGGGTCCTTGAGCATCTCTGGGGAGGCCCATATCAATAGCCATCAGATCACTGAAATGTAGAGGGGTATGGGGAAGTGGGGCAGCCAGGGGGCACAGGCACCTGTTAGGGGTGCAGAAATATTGAATGGCTATTGAGTTCATGCCCCCTGCCAGGTACTGTGCCAACTCTAGGGACTAGCCCATGGAAACACTGACACCCCAATTTCCCTTGAACCTTGGTGAGTGCTAGATCTTGTCCCCGCCTCTTGTACTGAGAGATCAGACAGATCAGACGGTGCAATGTGTCTCCCCTGTGTCCCCAAGTGCTGAAGCAGCGAGACTTAAACAATGCTGCCCTCCTCAGTTCTCATGTCTGGAAGGGGTGTGACAGCAGTAGGGTGGGGGGTAGGGATGTCTGAAGGAGCCTGACCTTTGGCGGCAGCCTCCAGAGCTGGAGGAACCCCAGCTCCCTCCCTCGGGGTCGCCTTCTCCAACACCCCACCTGATGGTCCCCCTCCTTTGTCAACCAAGGTTCTTCTGGGCCAGCTGAGACTATAAGGAGGGTGTACATTGAACCTCAGGCCATAGAAAATAGCTGTGGAGCCTGGAGGGGGCTTAGAGAGATAGCACAGGTGTAGGGTATTTGCCTTGCAGCTGACCCTGGATCAATCCCCACCACCCCATATGGACCCCTCAGCACTGCTAAGAGTAATCCCTATGCACAAAGCCAGGAGTAATCCCTGGGTGTGGCCTCAAATTTAAAAAAAATCTGGCGAATGAAGCTTGTTCAGTGCAAAGTGGTGAGCCATGGCACAGATATCTGGCTTGCCCAAAGAGACCATCAGCGCTTTCAGGGCCCTAGAGGGGTAAGATGGAGACTCCTTGGTCTCTTGGCCTGTGACCTCCTCCCCAGCCGCAGAGCTGATGTGCTGTGAGCTGCTGAGGGCCGTGTTCTTTGGAGTCTGTGGCTTTTGCTGCTTATCAGGTCTCCCTGGGGTTCCCATCCTTGTACTCAATGCACCTTGGGATTTATTTAATCCTTCCAATACACTAATGAGGAGGCACTATCGTTCCTGTTGCTTCTTGCACATGCCCAGCCCAGGGTTGATTTCTGATACCACAGTGTGGGTTCCCCTTAACATGGCCAGGAGTATGCCCTGAGCATTACTGAGAATGGTCCAAAATCAAAGGTTAGAGGGAATAGTACAGCAAATACGGTGCTTGCCTTGCACACAGTTGACCTAGGTTCTAGCTCTTGCTAGAGACATGTGGTCTCCTGAGCACTTCCAGGAGCAACCCCTGAGCACAGAGCCAGGAGTAAACCCTGAGCAAAACAGGGTATGGCCCCCAAACCAAAAGTCAAACCCTCCACTACCACCACCCCTCTGCCCCCCAAGGAACCTCATCCAATAAAAACCAAGATACACAATAGCCAGTGGAGCAGACAAGGAGACTGAAGCCCCAAGGTCAGATATGCAAAAGGTCACAGCAGGACATGGCACTGCAAGCATCCAGCCCAGCCCTTCTGACCCCACTTTCCCTGAGAGATTACTGGTCCCCAGTCCCCATTCCTGAATCCAAGGTGGAAAGTTGCACATATTTGCTTTGGTTTTGTTTTGGTTTTTGTTTGGGGGTCACATTCAGCAATGTTCAGGGGTGACTTATGGCTCTGAACTCAGGAGATCACTCCTGGCAGTGCTCAGGGGAAGAATGGAATGCTGGGGATTGAACCTGGGTCAGTTGTGTACAAGGCAAGCTCCACACCCACTATGCTATCTCTCTCTCTCTCTTTGGCCCCCACTTTATTTTTTCAATGTACCAAGTGGCTCCAGCAACCTGACACTTTCCTTCACAGAGCGCTGACCTTTCCAGTGTCTTTGTCGCCTGAACCACCTGCCAGGCAAGGAGAAAGTCTTGACCAGCACCTGCTTCTTTTTCCTCCTGACATGGAACCCGCCTGCACCGCTGATGCCTTGGCAGATGAAATATGAGCGACTGTATGCCCCAGCCCCTCCCCCCAGGCCTGGAGAAGCACCCGAGTCTTCTGCACCTCTTTCTTTCCTTTCTGCTCTCTCATTGCTGAAGGGATTCACAGAGCCACAAACAGAGCTTGGGTCCCCTCATTGGGATTATACCCACCCCCAACCAAGAGCATTCTTTTAGAACTCTTTTGAGGGGAGGGGAGGCAGTGTGGAGGGGCATACCTGGTGATGCTCAGGGGTTACTCTTGGCTCCATACTTGGGAATTACTCCTGGAAGAGCTCAAGGGACCATAGGGGATGCTGGGGATTAAACCCAGTTGGCCACATGCAAGACAAATGCCCTACCAACTGTACTATCGTTCCAGTTCTTTTGTGGCGCTCTTGAACAACAAACTTCCCTTGCCTTTGGGTCACTGTACAGTTTGAAGTCTACTTACTCCGACAGCCTAACTTGCTCCAAGACACTAGTTTCTTTGCTTATAAGGACTGAGATCAGCTGCCTTTGAGATCAATAAAAACTCATGCAGGTGCTTGTGGAAACTTCTGATTTCCCTGTGGTCCCGTTTTCATCCATGACCCTTTCCCACAAACACATACGTATGTGCTGTGGAAGGAGGGAGAGGAAGCTGGGGGTGGGGGAACCCACTCAGTGCTACGTTACCGCATCTGATTCCATCCAGTGAGGTCCCGTTTCTCTTGGGGCTGGAGCCTGGGGGCCTCAGTCCTGGTGCTGTGGTGCTGCCAGGTGCTGTGGCGGTGCTGCTGCGGGAACCACCAGCTGTGGGGGCTGGGGCTCCCCCCAGAGCAACATCTGCAGAGTTCTGCTTCTTACAGTACGTGGAGGAGGCGGTGGGCAGGGCGCCTCTGTGGCTAAAGGCAGAGATGGAGGTGTCCATGCTATAGCGGCTCATGCCCACGAGGCTCGTCAGGCACTCCTCGGTGGAAACGGTTGTGTCTGAGCAAGAGAAGGCAGGGCAGAGAAGCCGAGATGAGAGAAGAGCTCACGAGGAGTGCCAGCACCTGGTCTTGGCCAACCTTGGCCGGTCGCATGGGGCGACAGAAGCCGAGAAGGAAAGGACCCCACAGTAGAATCCCAGACAGCACCTCCCCAGTGAAGAGACACCCAAGAGGACACAGAGTGTGTGGTGGCTAGGATGGGGACATCTGTTCTGCCGGCAGAATGGAAAATGGACCTTCCCAGTTATTAAAGACTGGGAAATAAAACCCAGACAAAGCTAATTGCCCCCTCCATGGCCTCTGGAAACATCTCTGGAACATCTCCAAGATGCACCCCCCCTTCCTGGGGCACCCAGGAAACTCTCCCTTTTTGCTCCCCCTCCCTCCTGCCACCTCACCTGGCCTGGCCCAGGGTTCCTGGGAGAGAGGAAAGGAGGAGGCGTGAGGTATCAGAGGTGGGGAAGCTGCTGAAGCATGGGCCACCGACGAGTGATGATTCTCCCTCCTGCCCCCTACCCTTAGCCCCAACATACAGGACAATCTGACCTTCTACGAGGGCTAACAGACACACAAATGCTGACACTCCCCAAACCCTAGGATGAGAGATGAAGAGATTGTGCGAAGTCCAGGGATCCAAAGAGCCTGCCAAGTGCATCCTCATCAGCTCCCACCCAAGGAACTCAGAATTGTCTACACTTTTATTTATTTTTTAGTCTACACTTTTAAAACTCAGTGTTCTAGCCAATTGAACTGTCTCAGAGTTATTATGTGCAGCTGAATGGTGTATGCATATATGTGTGCAGAGGTGGGGAGTGGGAGAACGTTATTTTATTTTAAGGAGAACGTCCAGATGAATTCTAGAACTAGGAAGAGAAAGGACACTATTCTAATAATTCTGTCTCGTCCATCTCTCTCAGTCCAGACAAGATCACATCTCATTACCCCCATGAATAAATACCCATATGTCATACATGATTTGAACATAGCTATGCATACTCAAGAAAAATGCATTAGAATAACAAAAACCAATGGATCCTCCAAGGTGGGCCAACAGGGAAATACAGTGGGAGCTAGGGGATCCATATGTCCTCCTTCTGCCGGAAGCCTCTCACAATGCAGGGATTAAAAGATTAAGATCCAATTCTCCTAGAGGAGCCAGCAACTCTTCTTACAGATGGGAGTGGGCATAGAAGTAAATGTCATTGCATATGGGATAGCTAAACTGATGCCCAGAATGAAATTTGTATCTGCAAGTACTTACATTAAAAAAAAAAAAGAAAGAAAGAGAGAGAGAGAGAGAGAGATCTCAAAGTAATTACCTAATCCTCTAGATTAAGATACTGGCAGGGGAAAGTAAGCTAAAGCTAAAGCCAGCCAAAAAAAAAAAAATTTTAAATAAATATTAGAGCAGAAATTAACTAGAGAATAGAAAAATAATAGAGGAGATAAACAAAACCAAACGCTGATTGTTTGAAAAGAACAAAGCTAATAAAGTTTGGACTAGGTTGGCTAAGAAGAATTATTAGAATCAGAGAGAATGACTAGAAATTACTAGAATTGTAATTGGAAGCTGATATTATGACTAATCCGACAGAAAAGTAAGGGATTAATTAGGAATGAATAATTATAGCCCAATAAATTAGGTAATTTCAAAGAAATGGATAAGGGCAAAACTAATTTGAAATGAAATAGATAATCCCAGTAAAATTATTAGAAAAAATTACTTAGACATGTCATCACAAAGAAATTCCAAACCCAGCTGGCCTTACAGGAAACTTCTACCAAGATTTAAATTAAAAATTAGAACCAATTCTTCACAAACTCTAAAAAAATAGGAGTGTAATGAATTAAATGTGTTTACCCTGCCCCAAATTTCATATGTTGAACACTTAAAGCTCAATCTGACTCTATTTGGATATTTGCAAGATAGTGCAGGGCAAGTCCAATTAGCACTATTTATTTGACTTGGGGCTGGAGAAGGGTTAAGGCACTTGCCTGACATGCAGCTGACCCCAGTTCAAATCCAAGCACCACACATGGTCCCCAAGCACTGCCGGGATTCACTCCTGAACACACATTCAGGGATTGCCCCTGAGCAACACTGGGAGAGGGCTAGAGCGACAGCACTGCAGGTAGGGCACTTGCCCTGCACATGGCCCACCAGGGTTTGATTCCTCCGTCCCTCTTGGAGAGCCCGGCAAGCTACCGAGAGTATCTCGCCCTCATGGCAAAGCCTGGCAAGCTACCCGCCCGTGACATATTAGATATGCCAAAAACAGTAACAACAAGTCTCACAATTTGTTACTGGTGCCCACTTGAGCAAATCAATGAACAATGGGAGGACAATGCTGCAGTGCTACCACTGGGAGTGACCCACATGCCCATTCGGCAAAACAAACAGACAAGCAAACAAACAAACAAACAAAACAAAGCAACAAATACTGCTTGGGACACTAAGACACAGGTTAAGCCAAGCAACCAAGGGCACACATGCTCTTAGCCTCCTAACCCGGTATTTGGACAGTGCTGTCAGGATGCTGGATTCTGAGCTCTCCCCTCGATGATCTCTATAGCATCTCTGCCCTCTGGGTTGGGAGACGCCTACAGGACAAGGCCAAGGAGCAGCCCACAGAGCTTTACAGCAGGCTGCTTCCTGACAGTTAGGAAAAGGAAAAGGCACATAAATGGACCACTTGATCTGGCCTACATGATCTGAACTGCTATCAACAAGGCTATCATCACTTTCCTTTTATTGAGAAGTTCCCAGACTCTGGGAGACTAAACCTTTTGGTGTCTCCGCTGTTGGGAGCTTTAGTGTGTGCGAGGAAGCGGCTCAGAGACTCGCATTCAAAAGGTGCCCAATAAATATTTATTGAGTAGATGTTTGGCCCAGTGAAAGCAGTAAGGCAGCCATGCCACAAACGCCACATTAATATTCAGATTATGAAGGGCTGAGTAGAACTGCTTTATGTATATGCATGATAAACAATGAAAATGTTTTAAACATTTATTCTGCTCATTAATTATTGTACAGCCAAGTTAACTGCGCCTATGGATTCTCCTAGTCTAAGGTAGCGAAGGCAAATAATTCATTCCTCTGTACTCTTGTTGGAAAATGTAAATGCAGATGGAAGATTATTATCTGCTTACAATGTGTGGTAACAGCAAATGGGAACATGGATTTTATTGGTTTAGAAAAACTGCTGACGTCCATGGTGGAGATTAAAGGTAATAAAATCCGGCTTCTGGGCTATGATCCAAATGAATTCATCAGAAGTAGCTACGACTTGAGGGAGCACAAGGCAGGAGGAGAGGAGGAGTCCTCTCCACAGCAAGGGAGGCTGGTGATGGGGATGTGCGCCTGGGGCCCCCATGGAGACCAACCCCCAGGCCCAGGCAGGATGCTGTAGTCTGAGGCTCCCAGGAAGCCAGAGTGATTTATACCAGGATTCATACCAGCACTTCCTGATGGAGTGAGAAGAAGAAAGCTCCATCAGGTGCATGCCCCAGGGTGCCACTCAGAATGGATGAGAGGCATCTGCTCAAACCTGGTTGGAGCAGCCTCTTCTTCCCTGTTTGAAGGAGAAGTGTTGACGCTTACACCACACCTGGTGCAAACATGACTGCTCTGGGCTGAAGAGAAATCACAGAGCTAAAGGTGCTTGTCTGGCATGTACCCGACCCTGACTTAGTCCTCAGCACTGCCAAGGATCACTCTGGAACACAGAGCCAGGAGAAACCCCTGAGCATCCTTGGGGCGACCCACCCCCACCCCACCTCCACCCCAAAAGTAAATAAAAACAAAAGTTTTGTTTTTTAGGCTACACCTGGCTGTGCTCAGGGCTTAGTCCAATAATGGAGATTGAATGCAGAGCCTCATGTGTACAAGATCTGTACTTCAGACCTTTGAGCCACATCACCAGCTGAATGAATATTACTTTTCATTTTTATTTTATTTTTTGATGCCAGGGTACACCACCCAACTAGTGCTCAAGTAGCCCTGGGGAAATTTCCGGTGGTTCTCAGCCAGGTTAGTGGTTCAATGTGAGAGTCCCAGGATATGCTGCTGCAGGGCTCCGTGGTGCCAAAGATTATCCGGGAGACATTGGTGGTGCTGGGAGCCTCCAGGGCTACACCCAGCAATGCTCAAGGAGGCTGCAAGGATCAAAGCCTGGTTGGCTCAGGCCAGACATGCACCTTAATCCCTGTACTCTTGCTTGGCCCTGAATGTTACTTTTTAATAGTCACATATTTTAGACTGCATAAATAAAATGCAGTGTGCCCCTTCAAACTATGATTTCACTGATGTAGTGTGTGTGTTTCCAACATAAAAGTGTGGGGGGCATGCAGGACTTGAGCGTTGGGTGGCTGAGAACTGCTCCCCAGGCTGGATGTCCAGGGGAACGGGGTGGGGGGGGGGGATAGAGAAATTGGGTCTGGACCCCAGGCTGGTTCATATCACTGTATCACTGTCATCCCGTTGTTCATCGATTTCCTCGAGCAGGCACTAGTAACATCTCCATTCGTCCTAGCTCTGAGATTTTAGCAAGTAACACATTGGAGGCTCTTTCAGGGTCAGGGGAATGAGACCCATCATTGTTATTGGGTTTGGGCCCTTCAAATATGCCACGGGGAGCTTGCCAGACTCTGCCATGTGGGAAGGATACTCTCAGTAGCCTATTGGGTTCTCCGAGAGCGAGAGTTAGACAATAAGAAGTCGCGTGCTTCTGAGAGCTGGGTTTTATAGTCTCTGGGTCTTGGCTGTTGATGGGATTACATGGTGCCAGGGCAGTTGGTGGGTGTAACACCTAGCTACTAGAAGATGGGGAATCTGAGTGGAGAAGGCCCAGTCCTGATCCGAGCAGCCTTGGAGATCTCAGTCCCAGGTACTGCACACCTGGGTTTCTCTGCCGGTTCCTTCATGCATGAGACTCGTCCAAGTGTGTGGAGAATGGCTGGTTCAGACAATTTATATCTCTCTCCTTCTCTGTATCATCC